TAATAATAATAATAATAATAATAATAATAATAATAATAATAAATAAGTTTATTCTCCTTATAACAATGCAACAATAGAATCAAATCAAGTCGTCAAGTGGCTGCTAATCTAGTCCGTTCCCATCTTCTTAAATAGTCATAATAATTAATTACTAGGGCTTGTCAAAGAAATAGCAAAAAGAACAAAAATATGTATGTATATATATATATATATATATATATATATATTAGTTGTGTATTAATTCCTCTATCACCGTATTCACCGCTCTACATATACTTTGTATTGAGCACTTTTGTTTTGGAATAACCGACTCCCACATCTAGACTATATATATATATATATACATTTTATGTACACGAAAACACTAAGTTAACTATGTATACAAAAGATATTTTGTGTGTTCTTTTTTAAATATGTTTCTGGACTGTATATATCTAATATGAGTCGACATGTGTTCCATATTTTCGGGCCAATCTATTTTATGGAAAATTGACCACATCTTTTCTTAACTTTCGGGAGAGAAAGATTACATTTGTAGTTGTGTGTCTTGTGTTATAGTTATGTTCAATCTGAGGGAAGTAGTTGTGGAAAACTGGTGGTAATCTATCATAAATTGCATCATGCACTAAGGTTGCAATTTGTAGCGAATGTTGTTTATAAATATCTAAAATGGCTAATTGTTTAAACAAAGGTGTTGAGGGTGTATTGTAATTCTTAAATGCGATAATGCGAACAATGCGTTTTTGTATACTTAAACTGTTTTGCAGGTAACAATTATATGTATTTCCCCAAACCTCTAATCCATAAGAAATGTGGGGAAGAATGAATGTGTTGTATAACAATATTAATACTGATCCTGGAAATAAAAATCTGAGCTTAAAAAATATACCTGCTAATTTACTGATTTTTTTCTTTACTATTGATATATGATTTTTCCATGTCAGATGTTTATTCATAGTAATTAATACTACAGGTTTCACTTAATTGATCACCTTTAAGATTTAATTCACCCTCAGTTTTGATTTTTTTGTATGTGTATTGGCAATAGACATGTAATTTGTTTTATCGGAATTGATAGTAAGCTTGTTTAATACCACTTTTGAAATTCACAATTCAGAGCGTCTATGTTGATTTGGTTAGATTTGTTTTGAACTATGTGGAAAATATTGTCGTCAGCATATAATCTGAAGTTGAAATGGTCAGTGGATTGTGATATGCCATTTATATATAACAAAAATAGTATGGGCCCTAGAATGGAACCTTGGGGTACTTCACATGTAATTGGCAATGTTTGGGATTTAGTGTTATAAATACAAACATACTGATTTCTTGCTGTCAGATAACTTTTAAACCACGACAAGGCAACCCCTCTTAATCCATAATGTTCAAGTTTTGCAATTAAGATACCGTGGTTCACTGTATCGAATGCTTTCGAAAAATCTATAAACATTCCAATTGTGGCGTTACCCTCATCCATTTCAAATAACAAATATTGAATTAAGCTAATGAGTGAAAGTTTTCAGCTATATTTTACCCGAAAGCCATATTGGTGTTTGCACAGTATATTATATTTTTGTAAGTAATTCATCGGGCATTTATTTACATTTTTTCTATAATTTTACTGATGATTGGTGGGATAATGGTTGGTCGGAAGTTCCCCAGATTAGTTGTATTACCTTTGTTATAGAATGGGATGACTCGGGCCTTTTTAAGACAGTCTGGAAACTGTCCTGTGGAAATTGAAAGTTTGTAATGTAACTTAATGGCTGCAAAATTTCACTCATAGCATGCCTTACCAGTCTTGCACTGATTCCCTCCAAACCTGCCGCTTTGTGAAGACCTAAGCTGAAAATGTCAGTTTTGATATCATGAACAGTTACTGGGCGTAGGAAAATTGATTGGGTAGCTCGTTCCCCTAGAAAGTTGTAGAAAATGATATTATAGTTTGAAGTTATTTTATTGGCTAACTTTTCGCCAATTGTAACGAAAACCTCATTAAAGTCATTCGCAATATTTTCGAAATCTGTGTGTATAATTGGTGCGCCAATATAATCCAGCTTGACTTTTTTTGGTATAACTTTTGGTTAGGTTTTGCCAATGAGTTCATTGATTACTTCCCAGTTCTTGTTTAGATTTCCTTAATTAGAGTTGAATATATATATGTAATATTGTTTTCGGACTTTCCGTAGTACCTTTGTCAGAATATTTCTGTATTATTTATAAGTTTGCACTTTTTGTTCTTCGTAATTACTTTTAACCATATTGCCAAATAAACAATGTTTTGTTCGAATCGATTTCCTAATTGCCGATGTTATCCAAGATTTATCTTTTGCTCCGTTTTTTGCTGACTTTTTTTAATTTCATAGGTGCATGCTCATGACATATTTTTAAAAAAAAACGTTGAATTTAGCGCTCGCCACATTAACAACCTGACAACCCAACACTTCCACCCATGTTTCTGCTCTCAAATCAGATCTAAATGAGTTCACTTGAAATTTGGAGAAATCCCGGGAATACATATAATTGTTATCTTTATGAATTGGCAGTAGAGGGAAAACTACAAAAACCGTCAGGTGATCAGAAAGATCTGACATAATAATACCTGAAGAAATATCTGTTTTGCATATATCAGGATATATGTGATCAATAATTGTTTGGCTTGTTTTTGTTATTCTTGAACATGAAAGTGTATTAAGAAGGGAATTTACAATGCATCTGTACATGCCAACAGATCATACTATACGTGTCTTTCAAACAGTATATCTTACATGCCTTCAGATAAAGCGATACATGCCTTTCAGACAATGCATCTGTACATACAATCAGATAATATGATAATTGTCTTTCGGACAATGCATCTGTACATGCCATCAGATAAAACGATACGTTCATTCCAGAAAATGCATCTGTGCATGCCATCAGATAATACGATACATGCCTTCCAGACAATGCATGTGCACAGGTCATCCGTTAATACCTTATGTGCATTCCAGTCAATGCATCTGTAAATGCCCTCAGATAAAACGATACGTGAATTCCAGAAAATGCATCTGTAAATGCCTTCAGATAATGCGATAAATGTCTTTCAGACAATGCATCTGTACATGCCTTCAGATAATGCGATATATGCCTTTCAGACAATGCATCTGTACATGCCATCATATATGATAATTGTCTTTCGGACAATGCATCTGTACATGCCATCAGATAATACGATATGTGAATTCCAGACAATGCATCTGCACGTACCACCAGATAATATGATACATACCTTTCATACAATGCATCTGTACATGCCGTCAAATAATACGATACATGCCTTCAAGACAATACAGCTGTACGTGCCATCATATAATACGATACGTGCATTCTGTACATGCCATCAGATAATATGATACTGTCATTCAGACAATGCATCTGTACTTACCATCAGTTAATGCGATAATTGACTTCCAGACAGTGCATATGTACATGCCAACAGATAATACGATACATGCCTTTCAGACAACGCATCTGTACATGCCATCAGATAATACGATATATGCCTTCCAGACATTACAACTGTACGTGCCACATGAAAATAAGTTGCATGCCTTTCTGACAATGCATATATCTGTACGTGCCCTCAGATAATACGATACGTGCATTCCAGAAAATGCATGTGTACATGCCATCAGATATGATAATTGTCTTTCAGACAATGCATCTGTACATACCCTCGGATAATACGATATATGCATTTCAGACATGCATTTCATGCATTTCGTAACATGGCCGCCATTATGTATGCAGTGTGAGTGACATAGTTCTACAAGTAACAGGCATTTTGGCAGTTCGAGACTTATATTCATCTGTCAATTTATACGAATTTATCAAGTTGTATACCGAGAAAGCAGTGAATCTTGGCAGACAGCAAAAGAAGTTCAAAATCAACTGTAAACGTTGATTTTGTGTACAACATTCCATCGAATATAGTGACTAATGCATCAATGGCAGAGATACAGGCTGATGAAAATGTACACATTGACTTCATGCAAGATATCAAGAAGTATGAAGTAGTACCAACAAATATGAAGTTCAAAACTACAGCAGCCAGATTACCCAAGTGGATTGAGTCAGCAAAGGAAAGATATACAGATGAGTACTGTGTAAAGATGGGGTTGAAACCAGAATAGAGGGAAGTCAACTCAACAGGCAAGAAGGATATACTCATTCTGTGGAAAGATAAACAAAGCAGTAAGGAACATAAGTATATTGTATTAACCTTTTTTACTAAAGGGGGAGTGATGATACAAGGAGAAAACTTTGAGGAATGGGTGAAGAAAGACTACAATGAACTGAAATTAAGGGTGGATAATAATGAAATCAAAGTCAGTGTAAACAACAACCAAGGTCAAGATGGTGAACAAACTGATAGTGTTACTGATAGTGTCACACAGGCAATGGAATGTACTTGTGAAGGGAACAAGGTCACACAACAAACCATCGCCAGCAGTGTGAATCAGGTAAGTGATGTGATCATTATGGATGGAGAAGGACAGAATATACAACAAACTACAGACAAGCAAGATACGACCACTAACAAAATAGGACAAGCCATTACAGATCAATTATATAATAACTTAGAGAAAAGACTACATGATACTGAAACATGCATTGAGGTCATTCAAACTATAAAAGGAAAGAATGTCATGACTGATCAGTTGAAGGAGATAGAAAATAACATTACCAGCATAAAACACAAATGTGATTGCAAGCAAGAAAACAGTGCTTTAAAATCAACTGTAATGGAAAATTGAAAAGGGTAATGAAAGAAAAAATTCTAGTCTGTTTGATAAAATGAGAGAAGAAAATACAAGTCTGAAAAATCTAGTGAAAGTCTAACAGTGAAATGTGGTATTCTAAGCACTCATTATGATCAATTATCATTAAATTTCAACAAAACATTGGAGTGTCAAATCAACAAACAACAACATCCAAATGAAACAAATCAACTGGGCATGTACAAAGAAATAGAAAATCATACTACTCTGGAGTTGAGGAATGGGTATAAAGTACTAACATCACTCAATGAGCAAGATGATACTGAGGAAATGGCTGATAATATTCAGCAAGAATCAAATATAGAGAAGCAGACACCAATTCAAGATCAAGGTCTCCATGAAGTCAATTATAATGCGTCCGTTACACCAAAGATAGCTGATTGGAGACTCAATCATAAAAGGTGTAAACATTGATAGGATGTATGGTCCAAATACATCAAAGAAGTATATCACTTAAACAGTAGATGAAGCATTGGATAAGTTGGAGGAAGTGTCAGCTGATGATACTCAGGTGATATCTGTGGTGTGTCATGTTGGCACCAATGATTCAGGCAATCATAATTGTGAATACATCATTTCACAAACCAAGAAAATAGTCAGCACTGGAAAAAGAAGATTTCCCAAAGCAAAAATAGGAATATCAGCAATTCTACCAAGAGGAGGAAATGTTGGTATCAATAATGATATCAAGCACATAAATGATGAAGTGAAAAACTACTGTCACAAACAAGACTGTGTATT